CACTAAACTAAACCTTAAACCTAAACAAAACCCTAAACCCATTCAAGCTCAATAGCCGAGGCCGCGGGGCCTGCACCAGATGATGGTGGCGAGGTGAACGAAGCATCCGCTGTGTCTAGGTTTTACTCATGTAACGGTTTCTGCAACAACCGGGTGCCCCAACACTAAACTAAACCTTAAACCTAAACTAAACCTTAAACAATTTGAACCCTAAGACCAACAAGCCCGGTAGCATCCGAGGCCGACGGGCCTCAGCCAGATGATGGTGGCGATGGCGACGACGGGCCTCTGCCAGATGATGGTGGCGATGGCGACGACACGACCGTGTCTAGATTTCAAGTCTTGGCATAATTTCTGGTAAACTTAAATTTAAACTAAACCATTCCAAACCTTAAAAACAACAAGCACGAGCGCATCCAAGGGGCCTGGGCAGTCGTCGGAGAGCAGCTCCGGGCGGCGGCGGCGCCTGAAGAGGAGGAAGAAGAAAGAAAAGAAAAGGAGGAGGAGGGAATTGGCGGAGGAGGAAGAAAGGAGGAGGAAGAATTTGGAGGAGGAGGAAAAGAAGAGGAGGAGGAGGGAGGCGGCGGCCACAAGAGCCGCCCACAGGAGGGCCGTCGAGCTGGCAAGAGCTCGTCGCCCGATTGTGGTGGCGGAGGACGAGTCTCTGGCCGAGCTTGTCCGCCGGCAGTTTGAGTGAAAAAGACTTCGATTTCCCAGGATAAATAATGAAGGTAAGCCCCCCAAACTCGAAGCCCCAGGGGTGTGTTGCATGAAGGGCAGGGTTCCTGTCATCGTAACTTTATCAACAGTTGCACTTCACTCCAAGTCCGGGTTCGCTTCAAGGATGGGATAGAAGGGTTTTTGGGACTTGGGTTCAGGGTAAACGGATGGACGCCAAAACGCTTGAAGAGTGCAGTTGGGGCTGGAAGTTTAGGAATTCACCCGCCCAGGCCGAGCATCTATTCCTACACATCATGGTGTGCCCCTCAGAAGTTGGACTGCCTTCCGCTTCAGCATGCTGCTAAACTTACAATAAGGGGGTCAGCAGAGCTCATTGTCATGTCCCGGCAAATGCTTCCTCGCTGATTCATTCGAGCACCTCCAGCCTAGGTTCTGACATGATGCTGGGCTGATGCAGGTCGCAGCTGTTTGTCCATTGCAGGAAATTGCAGGGCGGGGCACGGTTGTTGAACTCGGCTCGTTCATTTCATGGCTGCCAAAGTGTGGTGGCCATGAAATAGATAATTAGCTTTTCAACAGCTACCAAGGGGTGTCTGTTGAAAGTGTTGATCAAGACTCATGAACATTTAGCATATTATTCACCCATTCATTTCATGGCTGCCAAGTGGTGGCCATGAAATTGCTAATTGACTGCTCAAAGGCTATCAGCAGGTGACCGTCGAAAGTATTGACTGTACATTCAGATTCATTAACTCATTTCATGGTTGCCAAGTGGTGGCCATGAAACTGATAATTAGCTTTTCAACAGCTATCAGCGGGTGGCTGTTGAAAGTAGGGCAAGAAAATGTAGTTCGTCACTTCCATAAGTGCATTCCCGGAATTCCCGAAATTA